TGATCTGTCGCATCTCAATTTCTTCCATCAAGACTTTCTCTCTGATAAAGTGATAATGCACTTCCACATGCTTTGTTCTAGCATGAAATACTGGATTTTCTGCCAGCCGAATTGCAGATTGGTTATCGCAGTGAAGTGGTACCGCATAGTCAACTTTTTGATGTAAGTCCTCCATTAGGAGTACCAACCATGTACTTTCTTGAGCTGCTACGGCCGCTGCTTTGTACTCCGCTTCTGTGGTTGACAATGATACGGTTGGTTGTCTTTTACTACACCATGATATTGGCCCCGACCCAAGCTTGAACACATACCCAGTGGTTGATCTTCGGGTATCATGGTCTCCTGCATAGTCAGCATCACAATATCCAACCAACTTGCAGTCTTCTCCTTTTTTATACAAGAGACCATAGTCAATTGTACCTTTGACATATCTTAAGATCCGTCGGGCAGCATCCAAATGAGGTTTCTTCGGATTTTGCATGTATCGACTCATAACTCCAACTGCATAAGCAATGTCAGGCCGAGATAAAGTTAGGTAGATAAGACTACCTACTAGTTGTCGATACATCGTTCCATCGTCCAACTCTTTTCCTTCATGAGCACATATCTTGGTATTTGGCTCTATTGGTGTTGATACTGGCTTACACTCCAACATGCCAAACTTTTGAAGTATATCTCTTGTATACTTTTGTTGGCAGAGGAACAACCCTTCCTTTGTACGATCAACTTCTAACCCCAAGAAGTGTTTAAGCTCCCCCAGCTCTTTCATTTGGAATCGCACCGATAGATTTTCTCTTGTTTGATGGATTTCTCTTTCGTCATCCCCGGTGATGATCAAGTCATCCACATAAACCAACACAATTGCCAACTTCCCTTCTTTTTCTTTAACAAACAGGCTTGAGTCTGCATGTGCAACTGAATAACCACTTCGGGTAAGAAATTCAGCAATCTTACCATACCAGGCTCTTGGTGCCTGCTTCAATCCGTAAAGAGCTTTTCTCAGCTTGCACACATGAGTGGGATTAACTGCATCCTCAAATCCCTTTGGTTGGTTCATGTAGATCTCCCGATCTAATTCTCCATGCAGGAAAGCATTCTTCACATCCATCTGCCATAATTTCCAGTCTTTACTAGCTGCAAGAGCTAGCAGCACCCGTACAGTAGTTATCTTCGCCACTGGACTAAATGTTTCATCATAGTCCAGTCCATATTGTTGTGAGAACCCTCGAGCCACCAAACGAGCCTTGTATCTTTCAATTGATCCATCTGTGCGTCGCTTTAATTTATAAACCCACTTGCAGGAAATGGGTTTTATATCTCTTGGTCTTGGTACCAGTTCCCACGTTTGATTCTGCTTTAAGGCTGTAACTTCTTCTTCCATTGCCTTCTGCCAAGCTTTATTCTTAATTGCTTCTTCATATGTCTCCGGCTCTTTAACACCGTCTTCTAAAATAGCCGCATTAGCATACTTGGGATTAGGCTTTCGGATTCTTTCCGTCCTTCGAAGTTGTGGAGGCGGCGTCTCCCTTTCACCGGCATTACTTGTTTGAGTTACTTCTTGCTCAATGACATCAGTGTCGCTCGGATCTTCAGGTGTATCAACACTTGACCAAATGTGTGCAGTTTGCTCCCCCATCTTTTGTTTTAAAACTTCTTCAATATTTTCCGAGTCTGGTAATACTTTCTTCTCTAAGGACCACCATGAAGATGCTTCATCGAACACTACATCTCTTGAAGTGTAGCATCTTCCGCTTGTTGGATCACAACACCTCCATCCTTTTCTTTGATTGTCATATCCAACAAATATACACCTGACTGCTTTCTTGTCAAACTTGCTACGTAAATGACTAGGTACAAATACGTAGCAGACACAACCAAATACTCGAAAGTAGCTAACAGTAGGTTTCATGTTCCATAGTGTCTCAAATGGTGAGATGAAACCTAACCTTGGTTGGGGAAGTTTATTGATCACATGGGCAGCAGTTCGCATTGCTTCAGCCCAAAATCTTCCTGGGACATTCTTCGCGTGTAGCATGCTTCGACAAATTTCTGCAAGATGTCGATTCTTTCTCTCAGCTACACCATTTTGTTGAGGTGTGTTGGCACATGTGAATTGATGACGTATACCACATTCTTTTAGATAGCTATTGAATTCTTCCGAGGTGTATTCTCCTCCATTGTCTGAGCGTAGACACCGAATCTTCTTTCTCACTTCTCCTTCGACCGTTGTCTTGAATTCTAGAAACTTTGAGAATGTTTCAGATTTTTCTTTCATGAAGAAAACCCACACATATCTCGAATAATCATCAATGAACGTCACCATGTACCGCATCCCGCTAATTGATGTCTGCTTGACTGGACCGAACACATCCGAGTGAATTAACTCTAGTGGCTTCTTTGCTCTAAAATTTGACTCCTTGTATGGTAATTGATGAGCTTTACCATACTGACATCCAGCACAAACAACATCTGTTTTAACTTCAAGTTGAGGTAAGCCACTGAGCATGGATTTCTCCATTATTACCTTCAACTTGTGATAACCAACATGTCCCAGCCGTGCATGCCATAGATCTGCTGTCTCGTTCTTACGAGTCTTATCTACATAGGCAGACTCTGCGGAGAGAACATAGACGGACTCCACTCTCCGTCCTTCCATTGTTGGCTTTTCTGATATTTTAAGATCTCGATAGACCTTCACATCTTGTGGGCCAAACAAGACGTAGTTTCCTGATGATGTTAGTTGCGATACCGATAACAAGTTCTTCTTCATACCTGGCACGTGATAGACATTATGTAGTGACACCATGTCAGATTTATTACCAGGCATGATCGTTGTTTTGCCAATCTGAGCAATTGGAAGTCGTGCATTGTTGGCTGTAAGTACCATGCGACTCCCTTTGTACTCCTTCACGTCTTGTAGTTTGTTCTGATCACCAGTCATGTGATTGGAGCATCCTGAATCAATGATCCAGTCATTCTCATAGTTGATACGCTCTCCCATCATTGCCATGAGCGCCAACTCGTTTTCTTCTATGGCGCATAATGCCTCAGCATCCCATTCATCCTCTATTTCCTTTTTGGAAGTTACGACATTGCTTTCCACAGACTTTTTCTTTGACCAACAATCTTTGGACATGTGGCCCCACTTTCCACAATTGTTGCAGTTGCCTTCGAACCTCCTCCCCCGAGAACTCTTATTGTCGGTCTTTTGAGATCTCCATGGTTGTGAGGTTCCTGGCTGACTCTTCCCTTTGTCAGCATTTTTGTATCCTTCTTTAGAAGGTGGCTTGAAATTCCTGCGACTTTTACTTGTGTAGAGTGCTTCTTCTTCACTCTTCAGCGTGATGCCTCCCATTTGCTTAGCCATAGCTTCTTAACTGGCCAACAAATTCTCAAACTCTACAAGTGATGGTTGAACGGGCCATCCTTGTACAGCAGTAACGAAGCTTCTATATTCCGGCCTCAGTCCATGGATGATGATCCTCTTTATTCGAGCTTCTGTAATGATGGATTGCGGATCTAGTTCAGTAATCTCCCGACATATCGACTTGACCTTGTGGAAATATTGAGCAATCGTCATGTCACGTTGTGAGATTGATAATAGCTCGTTCTCCAAAAGTTGTAGTCTTGTATCATTCTTCTTTGAGAAAAACGTCACAAACGTGTCCCAAGCTTCTTTCGGTGTGTTCTCGTCCCGAATATGCTCCAAAATCTCTTCTTCGATTGTGGTCTTCAAGGCAAACATTGCTTTGCCTGCTTTGATTTTCCATTTGCGTAGAGCGCCATTAACATCTTCCTCCGGAGGCGTGGTTTCGCTTCCGCCAACGACCTCCCATAGATCTTGTCCTTGTAAGTAGGACTTCATACATGTTTCCCATGTTTTGTAGTTGTTGTTGTTGAGTTTCTTGATTCCTCCGACGACTTGGAGATCACCCATCGTGTTGGCAGTACCTCGGTAATACCAAACAAGCTAGTTTCGACACTAAACTTGCAGAGTCACAAACTACTCACGATACAACGAGAATCACTCGTTCTCACTATCAAGAAACCTTGCTTTGATACCAGATTGTTGAACACGACTCTTTCTATGGGAAACAAAAAGACTTTTATTAAGACACTTAAGAAGACCTTACACTTTGTGAGACTACTATACACTTTGCTCTCTTTGAGGCTTTCTTGGATGGTTTGGAGCAAATGAGCTCCACACCTATTTATAGGCCTCTTAGGAAGGTTCTAGATACTAGTATACACTTACTACCTACTAGATAACTCTAGAACTATCTAACATACTATATATGCTTCCATATGTTTCTAGAATATTCTACCATGTTCTGGAGAGGTCTAGGTTGCTCCAGTGTCTTCTAGAATGATCCATAACCTTCCAGGGTCTTCCATGTCGTTCTAGAGTATTCTAGACTCTTCCGGTATATTCCGGAGTCTTCCATAGTCTTCCATAATGTTCTAGAATCTTCTAGAGCGTTCTAGAACAAGCTAAAGTCTTCTAGATAATATTTGTTCTATTGGGCTAGTGATGATCTTTAACAAATAGTTTATTAGGAGTTCTATTTGCAAGTGGTTTTATTACACATGGAGATGAAACATTATGCCTATGTGAAAATATGAACCTCCATTAATCATACAACTTATCACATTGATTTATTTTCTCTGATGCATGTTTTAGCTCATAAAGCAAGATTTACAGTTTTGGAATATGTCAATGGTGGAGAGCTATTCAAAATAATTGTAAGTTGCAACCGATATTTTTAATCATTTTTTTCATTTGTCACATGCAAGCCAATTATCTCCATTACATTAATATATTTATATGGTAAAACTTATCTTCTTCATGTTATGTTTGTTTATACTTTGGTTATATATGCCAATCATTATTTACTATTATGGCTTGCACAACTAAAAGTGCAGCAACCTTCATGGCCAAGGATGTAAGAAAATAAAATCTCACGTGTAATATTCACAACTTAATAGTTGTAAAGAAGCAGATGTCGCTCCGGTTTTATCTGCTCAACAACACAAAAAGGTACTTGGGTGTTTTATTACTATTTTTACAATGTAAAATGTCTTTCTTTACAACCAATCATTATTTGATATATGGATGGAAGATATTGTATCGATTTTCATAAATTTTTTTGATTGTATAGGACTGTGTCTCCCTTCAAAATTTTAAGGGTAGCCATTGATTTCTTTAACAATATTAGTCATCGACCTAATAAAATCATGGCAGTTCTTAAAGAAAATCATAAATTTAGATCCTATGAGCTAGATGCATTTGGGAGGAATATCAAGGTAAAAGAGAATAATAGTTTCAATCACGAAGTTAATGTATTCAGTTTTAGTCCCACAATGCGATTTTGGTCATTATATTGAATTATCTTCAGAATTTTGGTCATTGGGTTGTGTAAGCTAAATGCTCAACTATTCATTTTTTTAAACAACCATTTTCCTTTGGACCAAAACAAAACAAAAAAAGTAATACCATAAGTATTTAGGATATGGGCACATGGTGCAATTTTGAGAAAAGTGCATGGGTTATATAATTTTTATGCATATATACAAAATTATTATAAATTGCAGAAAATCATATGCGTAAATAAATCTCAAGCTAATATTAAAAAGCGTGTTGTCATGATAGTTGCTAGGAAAACAGAGCGTGAGTACTAGCATCTTGGGAGCAAAATGGTTGGCAAGCATCTTGGGAAAATATTTGTTAGGGTATGTCTCATTAGGAATTTTTCTTACAGTGTCATTCTCGTTGAAAAAAAAAACATAAATTACTAACAAAACATCGTATTGTTTCAGCATTAAGACTATGTGATCAAGTTTAATGGGTATTCAATCTCTCATCGGTAAAACAATTATCAAATTTGAGTTGTCCTGGTTAACCTATTACTACAAATTACAAAGTATGCATGTTGAGTATTTATTAGGTTAATCTTTATTGTGTGAAATGGTAACTCTATGGATCTTGTGCATGGTTAATTATAGCATTGTACTTTAGTGTTTTTTTACTTCAAAGAATTTTTGTAATTTGACAGAGCTACCCAATTATCGCAATGAAAATTATTGTATTTTGGATGGTGTTTCTATATTGGGTAAAATTTTAATATACAATGTTGTAATATAACGAAATAAAAGTGGAATGTTGTAATAAAAAAGGCAAGAGATATATAGCAACGGTCTATCATTTATTTATACGTTGCAAAATCCTAATTTTGTTTTTTTGTTTTTTCATATTTAAACATTGTACTTTTAGGGGCTTTCTTATTTAGGCATTATTTGTTATAATATCCTAATTGCAAGAAGTAGTATCATACTTTTGATTTGAAAAGTACAACATAGTAATCATTAAAAAAAAACAAAATGTTATAACAAAAAAAATAGCAACATACTTCCATTTAATTGTTTACTATAACATCGTACTTTAATTTTATTTTTCTTTTTCCGGATAACACATATAGATATTACTTTTTTAAAATTTTTATTACAACATCTTACAAATCACCAACCGTGGTTTCCACGGGCTATAACCTAGTTAATTTATAATTTATTATTTACAATTACAACCAACAAAATCAACCAAAGAATGCGCAATTTTTAAACACATGTAATGTAAATTGATAAGAATAAAAAAAATATCACATTTCTACTTTTAAGATGAAAAAAGTCATAAAGGTAGATCAACCAGTTATAAGCTGAATTAGGTTAACCAATTGCAAGTTGTATGTAATAATCGGAATTTTCATGATGGTTAAAAATAAAAATAAAAAGTCAGACTATCAAAGTAAAAATGATATTGAACTTGATAAATAAAAAAGGAACAAATTCAATGAAACAAGCTTTGTCATGGAAAAAACTATCCACTCTTTTTAAGCAATTGTCGGAAGCCTTCAACGTCTTTTTTTGTTATAGTTCCTGCAAACTCAATTAGACTCATTAATGAAGTTGAAACAATCACAATACTATCAATATGTGTGTGAAAACAATCGTTAACAAAGATAACTTTATTTGTTAAGAACTACCTAATGAAAGAAACAAATGGGAAGTATGTTGATACCTCTTCTGAATAAGTTTGCTCAACCCCGATGCGCTCTTCCTTCTGCAGCTTATCAAACTTCTCTTCTCTTGCAGTCGTAGCATCTTGGATTACCTTCAGCCGGTCCTTAAAGACTTGTATGTTCATCTTGTTGTTTTTTTTGGTTAGGTATGGAGTGGAGTGGACCAGAAGAAGACATAAAAACATTGTTATTTGAAGATTGATTCAACTTCTGATACATCAAAAAAAGTAAAATTGAGTCCAAAGCAAATTGAGAGAAGGATGCACGCACCTATTAAGGTGCGACACATATTTTGCCCAATAAAAGAGGACACCAACCAAAAGCAGCAGTGAATTGGCAAATATTGCTAAGAAGTTAGAACTTCAACATATCAAAATGTAGTTGTACCTGTCACAAAAATCATGTTTGTGAGCATTATCTTGAAATTCATGCTCTGCATCTTAACTTGATTCATGTGTTGAAGGCTATGAAAATGGAAAAACACTTTTCATTAATGAGTTCCATATCCTTGCCAAAAACTATTATAATGAAAAACATTAATTTTGTTATCTAATATGTTCACTTCAGTAAACATTAGTAGAAAACACACTTCTCTTCACTTTACAACTTCAAGACTTCAAAATCGTAGCTATTTTTTTTAAAGAATCGAACATTTACTGCCATCCAAGAGAAAAGAGAAAGAAAAGGGTAGTGGTCGGTTGCTATGGATATTTGAGCAGTTTTTTCTTTTTTATTTTCAATCAGTGACTTCCATTTCAACATAATAGTAATCAACTGGGCATCATAAAAAAAATCACCTTTAAGTAATGCAAATAGATACAGTCTCTTACTCTTTTTTTTTCTTCCCCTGTCATCTAAAAATTATGTTGATTCTAGAACTACCCCTGATCCTCTGTCTATATTCGTCAATTCTTTACCTGGATTTCAGAAATGAACAAAAAAAAGACTTAATTAACTGAAAGCAAGTCCCTTTTTTTAACATATGAGTACATAGAACAAATTCTTCAAAAACTCATAAACTAAAAAAATGTTACGATTTTATGCATTCACTTTCCCCAAAAAGTTTCAACAGAGAAATACATTTAATAAACCCTTTCAGTTGGTTCTGTTGTTGAAAATACCTGACCATCTGCCCCAACGGAGGGAATCAAATCCCAAAATAGAAACAAAGATAATTTTGGTTCCAAGCAACACATCATTCTCATTAACCGGACAACAACACATAAAAGCAGAAAAAAGAATGGAGCCTGTCACTCATGGAAGAGTTCGATTGAAAATAAATGAGAAATTAGGATAATTTTTGTGCAAAGAGATGAATAACATACCACAACGCAAATGGGAAATTGCAACAGGTGATCGACCTTGCTAAAATCTTTAGTCAAATTTGAACTATTTAACTATCGACCTGGTGAAGATGATTGAGTTCGTTCATGATACATTAGTGGTGTTGAAGAGGAAGGGCAAGTGGAAGCCGGCAAGGGGATTTCCTTTTCAATCGACTGTATTTCGAAGCCTGAAGTGATTGCATTCAATAAGAAGCTTCAATGTAGGGTACACACCGAAGATCAACGGAAATTGGAGGAATTGTGGTCCAAAAGAAGAGCTAAGCAGAAGTCGATTAACAAAAAAAAAAGTTCAATCAGTGAAGCTGTGCAATGGGTATCAGTAGTATTTGGGGAAGAACACGACACCATAACAACGATGATCAAAGATATTAGACTAAAATCAAGAGTCGACAATGAAGCAAATCAAAGAAACAACGATGATCAAAATTGTTGATTTGTGAAAATAACCCCATCAGGTTTATGTTGTATTCCTTTGCTATTTATATTACAACCAGTATCATATAATCAGGGGTGGAACCAGTTAAGAAACTCATCTGAAAAATTATGTTGCATCGGTGCTACTAGTAGACGATTCAAGTTGATACTCCTTGTTGCCAAAGAAGATGAAGAATCAGACAAAAAATATTCATAACAGGTATGCTTTGCTTGAGAATTAATATCAGAATTCCAATTTGATTGTCTTTTCTAAGATCGAGGCTGAATTTCGTCTTTTGGAATCACTGTAACTTGAATTCTAGTTCTAATTACTTGAATGCTAAGCTGGTGTTTCCCCTACGTTTCTTGAATTGCACACAGTACACCTTCGAGTTTAAGCTCTAGTCATTTGGATGTTACACAACTAATCTCACCTAAACCAACCAACAAATTCTCAGTGGCCCACCAAGATGAAATTCCTATGAGAAGATGAAGGGATTGGAGTACACAATCATGATTCATGAGCCATGGATCATTCATAGGGATCTTAATTGCAATAACATCTTCATCAATGGAAACATCCTACAGGTAGATATAGATACAACTAAACATTACACCTATTTCATTCTACACATAATGTTTAATCATAAAACTTAGATGCTTTCTATATGAGTTTTATCGTCTCCCAAGGTCTTATGATACCCTTTTTGCATCAAAGCTCCGAATAAGTCTTGCCTTGTGAACCATATGCTGTAAAGACCATTTTACCCTTCATGTTACCAAGCCAAGAACTTCTGGTATTGACATTATTAACCATGAAGCTACATTGCGAGGAGCATTAAATTTTGGTATTGACATTATTAACCATGAAGCTACATTGCTTATTACAGGGTGTTATTTTGTATCATAATTGACCATTTTATGGTTTGATTCAATTTCCTTTTCTTTAGACCTGGTCGTAATAGTTTCCTTGTTTTCTCTCCTTAATTTGTATCTGGATTGACGGTTCCTTAGTATTCAATTGAAGCCTTTTACCAATTTCTTCATGGTATCAGAGCAGATACTTTTCTTATATTCAAAACCCTAACACCACTGTTCCACCATGACCGGTGGTGAGCAGAGTAAATAGAAGAATGAGGGAGAGTCCATAGACTCAAACTCACAATTCTACATACACGTTTCCGATTATCCTAAACAGATGCAAGTAAATAAGGTGCTGACCGATTCCAACTACAATGATTAGGTACAAGAGATGACAAATTTCTTGTTTGCCAAGAACAAGATTGGCTTTATCGATGGCTCGATAAAGAAACCAGAAAAAAAATGAATCTACTTACATGGCATGGATGCGTTGCGATGCAATGATAAAGGGCTGGCTCACCACAGCTATGGAGAAGGAAATACATGGCAGTGTCAAGTATGCTAACAGTGCTGCTGAGATCTGGGATGATCTAAAGGAGAGGTTTGGCAAGGAAAGGGCACTGAGAGTTTACGAGTTTAAATAGTCACTCACAGGTACTCGACAAGATGGGACTTCCGTCTCAGCCTACTACACAAACTTACGAGGACTATGGGATGAAATACAATTTGTATTACCAATTCCCCATTGCACGTGTGAAGGATGTAAGTGCGGGCTTGGAAGAAAACTTGTTGAACTCAAAGAGAAGGAGAGAATGTATGAGTTCCTGATGGGTCTTGACAGCGATTTCTCTGTGATACGGACCCAGATCTTAGCAACAAAACCAACACCAATTTTAGGGACGGCTTACCACCTGGTTGCGGAGGATGAACAACAAAGAGCTGCTTCCTTTAACATGAAAACGGCCCAAGAAGCGGTTGCCTTTCAAGCTTTTGTTCCAGCCAAACGTGAAGGACAACAACAAAAACAAAATGGGCACAAAGGACCAACAAAGGTGCTCTTGATAACAAAACTGAACATTGCACTTTCTGTGGGAGAGATGGGCACAACCGGGAAGGGTGTTTCAAACGAATCGGATACCCTAATTGGTGGCCTGGAAAAGCAAAGGGAGACATGACGAAGCCTAAAGCAGCCGTGGTCCAAATGAGTTCAAGTCCCATTCCTGGAATAACAGAAGAACAATACAAGATGTTTGTTAAACACTTTAGTGGTAACAACGACGTCAATGATTCTGAAACAAAACCGGAGGCGAATATGGCAGTTAGTTTTGATTTAAATTATGAGTGGATCGTTGACTCAGGAGCAACCGATCATATAACTTGTCAAAATAAATTGTTCAAGAACATAACTACATGTGTTAACGAGGCTCCCATCACCATTCCTAATGGTGATGCCATTCCTGTAAAAGGGAAAGGTGAACTT